AACAACACATACACAAGCACCATTGTGGAAGTGTGGCATGGGAGGACTCAAAAGCTTGACCTCCCCCAGGATTCTCCAAGCCCCTTTCCTGAATTTTCAGTTTTTATTACAAAAGAAGAAGTAGAATCCACTTTTACGTCAAGAGATATAAGGAAGCAAGATCCAGGCCATAGCTCAGTGGTAGACCAACTACTTCTTATGTGGAAGGCCCCGGGCTCAACTTGCAGGTAAGCCTGGAAGAGAGTAGGGCTCAGCACAACCCTCCTCAATCCACCCCATGGCTCCAACCCAGGGACCCCCAGTCAGGCCAACCTGCTTTTACCCAATCTGGGGACCACTCAACCTGCCTCAGATCCAGTCCCAAATTAATTTGGAGAGTGCGGCTTATGTTTAATTAGGGTTAAAAACATATGGCTGGGGTGAGGGTGGGGGTGAGACATTACATATCTTTCACCCATTTCTGATAAAGCATGGGGAGGTGGTGTTTTCATTTTGCTGGATGCTCCTGTGGAGAAGCTGCTTGCCACCGAGCATCTTGTACCCCACAAGATTTCTGCACTGATACTAGGTTGAGGCAACAGGCAGGAAGGAGAGGCAGGTGTCATTGGAGGGAAGCAGGCCCAGATTGGGAAGCAGACCAGGATTGGAGGTGGGGGAAAGGGGCATGTGTTGTAAAAGGCTGCAGTCTGGTGCCAGGCATTATCTGAGCAAGTTGGTCGCTCAGAGCTCTTCCTGCCTCATGTGTGCCTCTTCAGGACTGGAACAGGACAGCAAACAGAACATGCAGGCACAGCTGCTTGTTGGAGGAGAAGCCCCAGTTCTTCATTGAGGTTTTGTGGGTTGGGAAGCACAGGGGTCACAGAGGCTGATGCTTTATCGATCTGGGGCTTGCTTTGAAAGTCAGATCAACACATGGTCTCAAGAAACAAAGGAAACACATGCTGGAGGGTGTATGATATGGCTAATTGGACCTTTGTCGTTAGCATTGCAGACTGTGCTGGAGAGGGAGAGCAGATTGCATTTAGCTCTATGTTTATTGACTGCCCCCCCCCCGCTCCATTGGTGGGATATGTTAGTTTTCTATAATTTTCCTATGCAAAAATCATATCCCTAAGAACTATTTTCTTTCCCTTTAGAAAATTTTCACTTTGTTTCATTAAAACCTTGTGGTCTCCAATTATACACCACTCCATATATATCCCCCCCCAAAAAACCCCTGCTCCAACACCCGGTGTGGCCCACAGGGGTGGGGCTAGCCGCCCACGGGGGTGCGTCAGCATCGGCTTGTGTCCCAGGGGGGTGCATTAGTGGCAGGAAGTGTCCTGTTGGCACACGTCCCAGTGGGGTGCGCCGGTGGCGGGAAGTGTCCCGGGGGGCAGAGTTCACAGTGATATCACCCCCCTCAGGGAAGGCACATGGGGCGGCCCGCACCCACCACACCCACCTTGCTCTGCTACTGCCTCACCTTTCTTTTAACTTGTGGAGGGGCTGTGTCATTCCAACCCACTTTTTAGCCACAGCTAAAGTTACAGGAGCAACAAGTTCATTGCTCAGTTGAGATCTGAATGTGGGTTCTACTTATCTCAACTACACTTCTCATTTTCAAATACAGGTGAAACTCAAAAAATTAGAATATTGTGGAAAAGTTCATTTATTTCAGTAATGCAACTTAAAAGGTGAAACTAATATATGAGATAGACTCATGACATGCAAAGTGAGATATGTCAAGCCTTTATTTATTATAATTGTGATGTCTATGGCGTACAGCTGATGAAAACCCCAAATTAACAATCTCAGAAAATTAGAATATTAAATGAAATCAGCAAAACAAGGACTGCAAATAGAGCAATATTGGACCTCTGAGAAGTAGAAGCATACATATGTACTCAGTGCTTGGTTTGGGCCCCTTTTGCATCAATTACTGCCTCAATGCGGCGTGGCATGGATGCTATCAGCTTGTGGCACTGCTGAGGTGTTATGGAAGACCAGGAAGCTTCAATAGCAGCCTTCAGCTCTTCTACATTGCTCGGTCTCATGTCTCTCATCTTTCTCTTGGCAATGCCCCATAGATTCTCTATGGGGTTCAGGTCAGGTGGGTTTGCTGGCCAATCAAGCACAGTAATCCCATGGGCATTGAACCAGGTTTTGGTACTTTTGGCAGTGTGGGCAGGTGACAAAGTCCTATTGGAAAATGAAATCAGCATTCCCATAAAGCTCGTCTGCAGAAGGAAGCATGAAGTGCTCCAAAATCTCCTGGTTGATGGCTACGTTGACCCTAGACTTAATGAAGCACAGTGGACCAACACCAGCTGATGACATGGCTCCCCAAATCTCTTTTCTGATGAGAGCAGCTTTTGCATCTCACTTGGAAATGAAGGACCCAGAGTCTGGAGGAAGAATGGGGAGGCACACAATGCCAGATGCTTGAAGTCCAATGTGAAGTTTCCAAAGTCTGTGTTGATTTGGGGAGCCATGTCATCCACTGTGCTTCATTAAGTCCAGGGTCAACGTAGCCATCAACCAGGAGATTTTGGAGCACTTCATGCTTCCTTCCGCAGACGAGCTTTATGGGGATGCTGATTTCATTTTCCAATAGGAAAATGAACTTTTCCACAATATTCTAATTTTTTGAGTTTCACCTGTAAATATATTTGCTGAAACTGCATGTGTGTGTGTGTGTGTGTGTGTGTATGTATGTGTGTGTGCACGTGTATAGAGGACTGGAAACAATTAATTAGAAATTTTCATTAAGTATAATGACACTCTCCAAGAATGCTTTCCAGGCCTTTCCAATCAAGCACAGCCTTGACAAAGCTGTTTTTAACCTTGACACTGGAACACAACTGGAGAAATGACTGAATTCATATATATTCCTCCAAAATGTATTGTTCAATAAGCACAGGATCAAGTGGCCTCTGATTAAATCCAAATAATATGACATTTTGGAGTGGAAAATGTCACTTAGCGAAATAGATTATGATCTTTTGCATCAAGCTGAAACATCCCTGATATAATGTTAGCAATAAAACCTTTACTTTTTGGAATTTGGAAACAAGGCTACAACCTACTTGTGAGGGATACCTCCTGTTTTCTGTCATTTGTTCCTGATACATCTTATTCCTATTTTCTCCCTGTTGGAGACATGCCTCCTTAAAATTTTGTTAGATACAACTCAATGGAGTTGTCATTATTCAATGTTTGACTCTGAGTCGGCTCTACCATTAGACAAACTGTGGCATCCGCCTCAGGCAGCAGATGCTTTGTGGCTGTAGTGGCAGCCTCCCAACCATTCCTCCTAAGCTTCCTATTAATTCTCCTCTTCAGATCAGAGCTGTGTGTTGGCACATGGCCTGTTGTGTACACTATCCTAGTGCAATGGAGGAATTGCCCCATTGCCAGTCTTATATCAAGATTTCTGTGCCAACCCAATCAACATCTTGCCCTCTGCTTCAGGGAGGAGAATATCCTGGGCCAGCCCTGGTTCAACTCCCTCCCCAGAATCTACAGAAGAGCCTTCCTTCTACCAACCTAATGTCCTCAACATGATGCCAGCTTGCATCAGCTGCAGCCAGGGTGGATAATGATCAGGCATTATGGGAGCTGTAGTCCAATAACTTCTGCAAGGCAACAGGGTATTTATTTATAGCATTTTAAACTCATCCTTTGTCAAATGATCTGAGGGTGAGCTGAGGAAAGCTGCACTAAAAGTTAAATATCTAAAAAGTAAATTTCTAAAAAGTAAATAGCAGGTGCAAGCAGCCTGATCCAGATTGTGACCCTAACTAGCAGAATGAGGATTTAACTCAGGGAAAGGAAACCTGATGCACACTAGAAGTTGTTGGATTGCATCTCATCATTCCTGTTCCTTAGTCATATTGTCTGAAGCAGATGGGAATCTTGGTAGCAAACTTTCCCCAAGAGCTGGGACCAGGAGAAGCAAGTGGAAAACCCCCCTTTGCTGCAAGAGGTGCCTCTGAAGATTGCTTTTTCAAACTCCTGATAAAGTCAAATGTCAAGGAAGCAAAAGGGGAGCTATTTCAGTATTAGCAATTCTGTATGCAGCTGTTGATGATGAATATGATGTGTGCAATTAGAACAGCACACACTATTTAGTGCTCCGCGTTTTGCAAAATGGCTTTCTGTTCGACTAGGTCCTTTCCCATTTATAATCAGCGACAGCTACCATTCACTGCCAGGAAAGCCTGATTCATTCTGACTCACTGCTGAAGTCCCTGCGCTGCCGTGTGTGTGTGTGTGTGTGTGTGTGTCCACGTGTGAAGAATAATACAATAATCATGCTCTTTGATGGAGCCAGCGTGTATGTTCCTCGTGGAGGTACAGGCCCTGCCTTTTGAATTACCTGAATAATGGGCTGTGCCTCAAATGTAACTTCAGTGAAACTATTTGGAAGTCACAGTTTGGATAAATCTGGGCCATGCTGTAGTGTTCCCCCAAAAGCCTACTCAAAGTGAATTCTGAAGACTGCATGTTCTTTTTATACAGCTATGCTTGAAATTCTGCTAAGAGTTTTGCACGTACAGGAAAAATACATGCAGGCTACCTCAATATTTTTTTCCTTTCTTTCAGAGAAGAATACAGCTGAGCTGCTTTGAATTAAAAGACAACAACAGCATTCAGCAGGTGGCCCTAGCCTTTCCACAAACCATTAAAGACTAGAGATAAGGAAGAAATTTGGTTCAGATTACACTTAAATATGAGCCCACCTAATCTGCACTTCTGAAAACAATATGTGAGCAAAGTCGTCCTTATGAAATCCACACTTCTCTGATTTTTTCCAATGCAGTTTGCTAGGGTAAAGTGTACATGTAAGTGCATACATTGATGAAATTAAAATGTATCATATTAAGGGAAATTCCTTGCAATAATGGGTATATTAGGGGGGAAATGCATTTTAAATGTGTATATTAGGAGAAATTCATACTAAACTGCAGATGAATTTTCTTGAGGACTTAAAAAAAATATCACAAAATGAAAACTGAATACTTACCTGGCACGGGAGACACCTTTATCATGAAGGAGGTTTTCCCAGGTTGAGGCTCATCCATTGCACTGCAGGTGTGCTGACCCCTGTGATTTCCATAAATGCAGGAAACTCAATGGGATAATTTCTGCTAGTGGGGGACTGTGTTCACGTTTTCCCCTGGGGGGAAAAAGAAAGACTGGAAAAATGAGAACTGGAGATAATTTGAAATGGACAGGTTTGCCTGTACCTACAAAGAGAGCACAATTAAGGCAGGTCTGTAGCATAGTTATCCCTACCACACAGGAAAAGTAGGAAATGGATTTCATAAAGTGATATTTTAGTAAACACTGGGGAAGTAGAATATACAATTGCCACAATTCATGTTGAGATATAATTGCATAAGGCAAGAACACTTCCTAGGCCTCTGACATGGCCCTAATCATCATCATCATCTGCCAGCTGATGTCATAGCCTGAAAGTGGTCAGCTGACCTTGGAGTCCAGTAGAGAGACACTAGGTGCTATAAAACTGAAAATAGGTAGAGTTATTGAAAAAAGGTAAATGAGTAAAACTGTTCATGTGACAACAGTATACATTTAGCAAAAAGAGATGTGGCCGCACAGAACAAAATACCTTGACTGTCAAAGGCCAATAAAAAGAGTTGTAGCTTCAGCAGATGGTGAGAGTTGAACAATGAAGATGCCAGGCACAAGGAAAACACAGGAAAGAGCAAAATACAGAGAGTGGAAAAATAAGTAACAGCAGGTGCACAGAATGTAAATAGTATTTTTTTAAAATATCCCAGGTAATGAGCTTTGTATTCTGTCCAAGAATCTGGAGGTATTTTCTTTAGCATTTTGAAGGATTGCATAACTCAGTTTTGGGAATAAATATTTGCTGTGGTACCTCGGGTTATATACGCTTCAGGTTACAGACTCCACTAAACCAAAAATAGTACCTCGGGTTAAGAACTTTGTTTCAGGATGAGAACAGAAATTGTGCTCCGGCGGCGCAGCCACAGCGGGAGGCCCCATTAGCTAAAGTGGTGCTTCAGGTTAAGAACAGTCTCAGGTTAAAAACGGACCTCCAGAACAAATTAAGTTCCTAACCTGAAGTACCACTGTATATCCAATTTAGTTGAAATTGCACTGGGCCAGTTCTTGCACTACAAAGTGTTTCTCTTAAACCCGTGACTTCTTAAGTTTAGGTTTTGAAGTGTGTAACTTAGGAAAAGGCCAGAAATAGATCTCTCCCTCCATCTGCCTGAGAAACTTTCCCAATGTTCAGAATGAATTCATCGTGACTCCCACACAGAGCACCAAAGGATCAGGAAAAGCTACTGGAATGCGTCAGAAGGAGCTATTGAGAGCTACTGCACTCCAGATCTATTGTAGTTTATAGCAATGTTTGCCATCTGCCTGGCTGGTTCCTGTGTCTCCTGGAAAAGACAATCATGCTAGCACAGTGTCACAATTGCTAGCATTTTAAAGATCTAAATCTGAATGCAGAAAGTTCTGAAGCAAATCAAACAGCTGAGCACCCCTATTGTTACCTGATTCTGCAGAAGTCAAAATCTAGAAAACAACTCACTGTGTAGATAGTGTCATACAGTTAAGCCACTAGATGACTCTGGGCTTAGCTACATCTGAATGGAATCAGACATTTCTTGTTAGCAAAGACATTTTGACACCTGAGGCGAACTTCAAAATGGTGCCACCTCCGCACCAGGGAAGAAGGGGAAAGTGAAGATTTCTAACAGGAACAAGGGTTGAATAAAGATCTACATTGGGAATGAGTGTAGGTGGAGACCAGTAGGGCCTCCTATTCAACAAGAGGCCACTGTAGAAGTGGCATGGGCAGGGGGGCTGCCAAGTAGCTGGCAGATCCAGCCTTCAAGGAGCATGCCACAGCTGTCGCCACACTCTTACTGATCTGTGCTGTGGCTACACCCTCAACCACTGCACATGGCAGAAAGGCTTCACACCCGGTAAAGCAGCACATACCACTTTGTCACATGCTTTACTGCCCCTGGAAAATGGATGAGTTGGGTGTATGGCTGGAAAACAGGGGAAAATGTGTGCATTTGTGCATGCTCTGCGTATGTGTGTATGGGATGTGTGCATATGGCGAGTCTGTGTGCTAGTTGTGTGTCTGTCTGTGGAGGGAGAAAGCCAAACTCCCTCTAAGCATATCCACAATAACTAGAGAGTTGGTCCACTGTCAATGTGACTCCCAGTTCCAAAATGTTTAGTCACCTTGCTATACACAGACTGGCCAGCAACCTTCCAGAGTTTCAGGCAAGGGTCTTTCCTAATCCTGATCTTATGCGGATATATGACTTGTTGTAACTAAGTACTGGTACCTTACAACAGGTGCCTGACTTTTCTTATTTCCTCCTCCATCCCAATTCATTTTTATTTTGTGATGTGCTATTTTAAATTGCATTCTCAGGGCAAGGACTATAAACTGCTCTGGAAAATTGTTTTGCCTGAAGCGCAGCAAAACATTTTAAACTACTACTACTACTACTACTAACAACTACAATTAAATAAGTAAACACTAATGAATTCTAGCCTCATGAGAGAGTCTGGGGAGAAGGAAATACTTGTCTCTCTCTGCTGCCTCCACACTTTGCAAAACCTTATCAACTATCATAATGAGCTGGTTTACTGAAACAACGTCTTCTTTGAGGTGAGATTTGTGTTCACGTTAATCTGGGGGACAAAACAGGGGCAAAAAACATAATGAGAATTCCCCTTGCTACGAACAGCCATTGTAGTAATTTCTCTTGAAATGTGCGAGAATTGATGCTGAGATGTGGGCTCGTTTCAGGCAGGAGATGACAAATAATTTGGCACCAACCAAACTGTTGCTGTTTTAGACTTCTCTGGGCCATCTGCCATAGGGAAAACAAGAGGATATGTTTCCTGACTCAGAGGGACGCAAGCAGAGAAGTATTATCTGCATATGGATTTGTACAAGGTCCATCTGATACAGACACAGAGGCATTCGAGGTTAGCATTAAATCTTCATGTCAGTTTTTCCACTCCATATGGTTACTGGAAGTTCATCAGCAAAGGTCCTTCTGTGGGTGACTTAAAGGTTAATCCTGTTGTTAGTAAATCACCTAAAAAAGAGGGTGATGGTGGAGATATAGCTTAGCAACCAGGCAAGGCTGTGAAGATGTTCACTGAGGTAACACATGCTCTGGTTGGCGCTGTTGTTCTGAGGGAGTGCTCTTCTGTACTTTTTAGTTGTCGTTCTTCCTGCTCTGTAGAAAAATCTCTGTTCCTTTCTCCTCAGTTATGCACTGCTTTTGTTTGCTTTCCTTAGTAAGGGGTTATCAGGATTTTTTTACTCTTGAGTCCATCTGCACTTTTAAAACTGACTTTTCTAAGAGTGATGAAGACAGCAATGGCTGGCATTGTAAACTAACTGGGAGGTCCACATTCTAAGCTCGGGGTGCATTGCCAACCTTCAGAACCTCCTGACTTTGCTTTGTCTTTCTTATTGCTACTGCTGCCTGCTCACCTTTCCTTTCTCAGTAGAGCAAGGAGTGACTGGAGCAGCTCCAGCCTGTCTTGCCCCATCCCTCTGGGCCAGGGACATCTTCTGGAGCCCACCAAGCCTCTGAACTCTTCCCTGCAGGGGGAGGGTGGTAAAGGCTATCTTATCATTCTGCATCTGTTGTAATGTGACCGCCCCTCCCTGGGTTGGGGTTGAGTTTTGAACCTGTTGTTCTGTGATTATTTTTAGGAATATTTGGACTTTTGTTTACTTAAGGCTGTGGAACGTTTTTCAGCCCAAGAACCACATTCCCTTCAGGACAAACAACGTGCCAGAAGTAAAATGTGGGCAGATCAATGAATGTGAGTTTTACCTTTGTGCAGTAGGCTGATTTACACACACACCCACACACCCACACACCCACACATGCTCTATCCTCCATCCAGGCAAGCAAGAAGCATTCTGCTTTACACTGTTCTGATACAGGGTGAATAAAATATGGAGGGGGCAGGTAAGCCCCACCCCGCATAACTGATTATATGATGTAGCACATACAAACACACAATTTGAAAGGCAATGTCCATTAACTTGGGGGGGGGGCTGGGCCCCTTAAATATTTTCTTGTGCGGGGCAAAGATTCCTGTGTTGGCTCCTATGTTCTGATTCAACCATTATTATTATTATTATTATTATTATTATTATTATTATTATTGGCAATAAGAGCTGTGAGGTGTTGGCGCTCTTCTGGCTTCCAAACACAGTGTGTTGTTGGTACTTACATGCTCAGGAAGCTTGGCACTGCACAGTCCAACTATATATTCCTCTGCAGAGAGGTAAGATCAGAACCTCCTATAATTTATCCATTACTTAGTTGGCTTTTTGAATTTGGACAAAGGAGTTGATTGACAATGAGGCTGATGAAGCAGTCAAATTTCCTTTTTATCAAGAGCAAGATGGTGACTGTATGGGGTTCTTTCCGCCTGCAGGTTTCAGAAAATCTGTCAGGGTGTCTGTGATTTCATTTTTCTTCCAGTAGAAGGAACGCTTGTCCTTAAGCATTAAGTGTATATACGATATTTTAATGTCACTACTGAGCTCATATTGTTTTACTCCATAGCCTGGCAATTACTTCATATGTGGTTTTGTGGGAAGCATTTTTCAATCTGAACTTGGAAAAAAATATATGCTTTTTTTCAATCTGAACTTTCAAGCATTTTTTCAATTTGAACTTAAGGGTGCCTATTGGCCCCTCTACTATTTGATTTCTATCTAAATAACTTAGTATCTGCACTCAATGACTCAGAACTCCACCCGCCGAAGCTTGCAAATTGGCATATTTCGGTCCTGCTATATGCTGATGATGCGGTAATCCTATCTGGAACCCCCATTGGACTCAAAAGAGCACTAAGAAAGCTCACAGCATACTGTGAATCTGAATGTCTCAAAATCAACTATCGAAAGACCAAGATACTCGCTTTTGGGGGAAAACCAAAGCTTAGAAGCTGGGAACTCCAAGGCCATAAATTAGAACAAGTCATGAACTATAAGAATCTAGGAATGGTGGTACAGGCCTCAGGAACCAACAAACTACACATAAACTCCATCGGGAGTTCAGCAGAAAAAACCGCAAATTGTATTCTTAAATTCTTCAGAGCACAAGGGGGCTTCTTTGT